TTTTCCTTGCCTTGTTACTCCATTCAGGTTGAATTATCTGCAGGCCTGACCTAACATGCCCGGGTATCGCTCAATATCCCTACGAGCTTTGATATTTCCAGAAGACAAGAACTTCTTACAGAAAGAAGTACAATGCTGTGCAGAGGACGTAACATGGAAACAGGTTACTGTAAAGTTACCGGTTTATTTAAGTATGTAATACAATATTTCAATATCAGTTCTTAGTGCTCTCTCAGTCCCGTCAGTAAACCGGTTTTCAGACTGCGGGTTGTAAGAAATTTAATACAGTGCATTGAACGCTGCTGTAGAATGAAATTCACCTTTGGGCGGTTTCCTTGTGACAAATCAACTTCTGATAATATGGCGTGGCAGACATAATATGCGCATAATATGAACTGGAACAAGTGTGATTTTCTCCTTCAATAATGTTTACACTCGACACAAAACACTGATATCGTGGACAGTGTGTAATGTGTATGTACATACAGAACAGAATGTAAATAAGCATGAAATCCACACGATAACAAAGATATGTGAGCAGGAGCATACTCGAACACACAGTATCACTGCACAAGCCTGCATTTTTCCCCTCTCGTCAAGCACATTCGGGTTGGGAAACGCACTTCACTTCAGTCTGAAGCGTGAAACGGTAAACAGATGGAAATACACGTCACTCTCGAGATTTTTTAATCTTGATGAACATGTCCGGATCGTTTTGAAATTGAGTACCAATGACTCCCCGGGTATAATAGGCCGTTTGCGCATTCCTCTATCCACAACTACGCAAGAAAATGCAATAACAATATTAACAGCAACGTCATCGCCACTGCTATTTTTAGTAACCGAGCTTTAATGTCAAACACGGTAACAAAAAATGATTAATACAAAAACCTTGACGAGGCTTATGTTTTCGCAAGGATCCCCCAACAACCCACGTGGTTCAGGAGACTAAATAAACAAACAAGCCCGTGCCCCAGACCCCACAGACCCAGTTAAATCTACGCTACTGGAGCTCGTCACTCGGAAGTCCTCCTTGGAAGTCAGCGACCGCCTCTGATATAGTAGCATGTAGTTCTTCTATTCTTAAACTATAAACGGTTTATATACGTAATAATGGTGTTCCTGTGTGCGTCAATATTAAGAAAATCAATGCGATCCTGCACATCCATGTTCACCTGTTTCATAAATATTAACAGGTGCAATCTGCATCTAATGGCCCTGAAAGAGGCAAAACAACCATGTTTTGTTGAAACATTTATCCGCTTCATTGATATACACAAGGTGGGCACAAGACAGAAGAGCAAGAATAGTCTTCAAATTGGTGATTCGCGTAAAATAGCCTTCAAGAGAGAAGAGGGCGAACGGCTATAAGAGGAGACAAGAGGAGCAGGAAACGGAACTACACCATAAAGATAATAAGTAAGGTTATGTCTCAGCAATCATCCTGATTTGTGTCCGTCATTCTCGACTCATGTATATATAAACGACCTGCGTAGATGGGAACGCCAAAACCGGATACAAAGGTGACGTTGTAAAGGCATAACAAGCTTGACATATACAGAACTGGACAAGGAGAAAAAGAGGAGAGACGTGGAAGGACGGGGTGCTTGAGGGGAAGCAGGATGCTCTCAATAATCTCTTGTCCTGTCACTGCCCAGCCTTTGCCTACTCCCTCTCCTACCCCCTCTCCCTCTCCCTCCCATGTCACTCCATTCCTGTAATACTTCTTTGAGTCTCCTCACCCACTCTGCCTACTTTCCTTCCACGTGCCACTTGCCTTAGATTTAACACACGTTTTCCCTTCCTGCAATCGCCAATTCCTCCACTCTAAACTATGCATCCATTTTGTCCACCTCCACATATATTGTACTCTTCTGTCATTCCCTTACCTCTAGATCCAAGCCGTCGAGACGAAGGGTAGAAAGGAGATAGGAGAGAAAATGAAGAACAGAAGATTCGGCAGAGAATCTGGTGACAAAGGGGCCTCTTCCTTCAAGCGAGACACGTGTAGCGAGTCCACACACATACACGGCGGTGCGTTTTCCTTCCTCCTCCAAGAGAAACGAAGCAAAGAAGAAGAAACGGGGAGCCAAGAGATGAAAGATCCTGGTCGCACGTGGAGGACGTCTCCTAGGTCAATTGCGCGTGTGCGTGTGTTTGTGTGTGTGTGTGTGATCAAGTAGCTGCACGTGCCGGTATGTGGAGTAAGGCGGGTGTGTACTTGTGCGAGTACAGTGAAACGAGGGCACATATAAATGACTGTTTCCTTAAGTATGGCCTAGAGCATCTACACCACCTGCGGGTTAGTGTGTGACCACTACCAGCTGCACCACCTGTTCCTACCAGTGTGTACGGACGCACTGTAGCCCCTCCCTCTGTCCTGGCTGGTGGCCAACCATACGCCGCTACCCACCACCACCAGGCTGGGCACTCGCCATTCGCCGCACGTCATAACCCAACATTCCAGAGCCAATTCGTGCACGAACACATGCACGCACGTAGACCTCGCGCCACGTCACGCCCCAAGCCTCTAATGACTCGCCAAGCCCCTGACGGCGATATCCTCGCGTTAACGCGGGAGGGAAATTCCGGTCATCCAGTTGGTAGTGTCAAACATCAACAATGACGGGAAATGTCGAAGTGCAAAGCTACAGCTAACTTTTACAATGAATTCCGGATTCAGAGATAAATTTGAACTCATTCTTCGCCAGCCCCCATAATCTGACACTCCTCCTCAATCAACAATTTTAAAAATCCTATCTCCTACGCTTCTCCCTAGCACTTCAGCCCAACTCCTCTCACATCTCCAACCCCAACCGCCCCAAGAGAGAGAGAGAGAGAGAGAGAGAGAGAGAGAGAGAGAGAGAGAAGAGAGAGGGAGAGGGAGAGGGAGAGGGAGAGAGAGAGAGAGAGGGAGAGGGAGAGAGAGAGGAGAGAGAGAGAGAGAGAGGGAGAGGAGAGAGGGAGAGGGAGAGGGAGAGAGAGAGAGAGAGAGAGAGAGAGAGAGAGAGAGAAGAGAGAGAGAGAGAGAGAGAGAGAGAGAGAGAGAGAGAGAGAGGAGAGAGAGATGAGAGAGAGAGAGAGAGAGAGAGAGAGAGAGAGAGAGAGAGAGAGAGAGAGAGAGAGAGAGAGAGAGAGAGAGAGAGAGAGAGAGAGAGAGAGAGGGAGAGAGAGAGAGAGAGAGAGAGAGAGAGAGAGAGAGAGAGAGAGAGAGAGAGAGAGAGAGAGAGGAGAAGAGGGAGAGGGAGAGGGAGAGAGGAGAGAGGGAGAGGGAGAGAGACAGACAGAGAGAGAGAGAGCGAGAGAGAGAGAGACGAGAGGAAGAGGAGAGAGAGAGAGAGAAGAGAGAGAGAGAGAGAAGAGAGAGAGGAGAGAGAGAGAGAGGAGAGGGAGGAGGGAGAGAGGAGAGAGAGAGAGAGAGAGAGAGAGAGAGAGAGAGAGAGAGAGAGAGAGAGAGAGAGAGAGAGAGAGAGAGAGAGAGAGAGAGAGAGAGAGAGAGAGAGAGAGAGAGAGAAAATGAGAGCTGTTTGAAAAGAAAGTACCTTTGGGTAGGTGAACTGGGGCTTGAAAGGAGTCGTTTAGTAGTATATTTCTAATTGGTAAACGGATCCCCCGAGAGGTAATTCTGTCCTGGTTATCATAATGAAGTTCATTCTAATTTGCTAATGAAGTTATTAAATTTGTTAATAAAGATAATGTAGAATGTGGTGCATTACTAAGTATTGCAGCTGCAAAACAAAATATTTTGTTCAATAATGTAAAATAATGTATCTATTTGATATCAAAATCCTATATTCTTTACTTCAAAAGTCTGTGCCTGTAAGCCTCACCACGACGACGACGACTGGACTTCAGGGACGCAAACTGTTGTAAATTTTATTTTGCATTGGAAAACTGGGCAAGTCGACTAACTTCCTCTCGCTCAGAAGTGACTTTGTAGAGGCACTGTAATGAGTGATAGTGAAAGTGACGAAGTGAACATGCAGCGGCATGACGGCGACGTCAAGAGCAGGGAAGGGAAGGAGTTCTTGGAAGAGGATTTACGATTTTCTTTTATCATACAATTTTATATGACATTTACGTATCCAAAAGATAAATGGTTTAAGGTTTTTAAATTTCATCGAACCCCTTCTGATCAAACATTCATATCTACAGTACATTCCTGTGTACACACAGACCGGTCAAAGCCCAAGGTGTCGTTTAAAAAATTAAGATCTTTTGAATGAAAGTAATTTCCTTACACGTCAAATGCATATTCAGTCGTATAGCTTCTCCCCCACTATCGCGCCCTGTGACAGGTGTTCTCGTTTCCCGTCCATTTCTTCTCTTCATCATCCCCAGCCCTTGCTCCTCTTCTCATCTTCCCTGTCACAGTCGTCTTCAAGACCAACATCACCATCATCATCATCACGGTTCTCTTCTAATTGTAAGACTGAGAGAGAGAGAGAGAGAGAGAGAGAGAGAGAGAGAGAGAGAGAGAGAGAGAGAGAGAGAGAGAGAGAGAGAGGAGAGAGAGAGAGAGAGAGAGAGAGAGAGAGAGAGAGAGAAGAGAGAGAGAGAGAGAGAGAGAGAGAGAGAGAGAGAGAGAGAGAGAGAGAGAGAGAGAGAGAGAGAGAGAGAGAGAGAGAGAGAGAGAGAGAGAGAGAGAGAGAGAGGAAGAGAGAGAGAGAGAGAGAGAGAAGAGAAGAGAGAGAGAGAGAGAGAAGAGAGGAAGAGAGAGAGAGAGGAAGAGGAGAGAGAGAAGAGAGAGAGAGAGGAAGAGAGAGAGAGAGAGAAAGAGAGAGAGAGGCAGAAAGAGAGGAAGAGAGAGAGAGAGAGAGAGAGAGACGAAGACAGAGGGAGTGAGAGGAGGAGGAAAAAAGACAAAGAGGGAGAACAACAAACAAAGAAAGCAGAGTGAAACAAAGAAAACGAGAATATGATACGATATAAAGAGAAACAGAGCGAGGGGCGGATCGCAGCAACAAGAGGAAAGAGTATCAACACCAATCACACATCCCATGCATCCCATCTACATCATCCTGCCCCTGCCCCTCACATCCCATCTACATCATCCCTGCCCCTGCCCCTCACATCCCATCTACATCATCCCTGCCCCTGCCCCTCACATCCCATCTACATCATCCCTGCCCCCTCACAATCCCATCACATCATCCCTGCCCCTGCCCCTCACATCCCATCTACATCATCCCTGCCCCTGCCCCTCACATCCCATCTACATCATCCCTGCCCCTGCCCCTCACATCCCATCTACATCATCCCTGCCCCTGCCCTCACATCCATCTACATCATCCCTGCCCCTGCCCCTCACATCCATCTACATCATCCCCTGCCCTGCCCCTCACATCCCATCTACATCATCCCTGCCCCTCATCCCATCTACATCATCCCTGCCCCCTCACATCCCATCTACATCATCCCTGCCCCTGCCCATCTACATCATGCCCCTCACATCATACATCATCCCTGCCCCTGTCCCTGCCCCTCTCACATCCCATCTACATCCCTGCCCCTCACATCCCATCTACATCATCCCTGCCCCTCACATCCCATCTACATCACCCTGCCCCTCACATCCCATCTACATCATCCCTGCCCCTGCCCTCACATCCCATCTACACTCCCTGCCCCTGCCCTCACATCCCATCTACATCATCCCTGCCCCTCACATCCCATCTACATCATCCCTGCCCCCTATCCCATCTACATCATCCTGCCCCTGCCCCTCACCCCATCTACATCATCCCTGCCCTGCCCTCACATCACACCATCTACATCATCCCTGCCCTGCCCCTCACATCCCATCTACATCATCCCTGCCCCTGCCCCCACATCCCATCTACACATCCCTGCCCCACATCCCATCTACATCATCCCTGCCCCTCACATCCCATCTACATCATCCCTGCCCCTGACCCTCACATCCCATCTACATCATCCCTGCCCTGCCATCTACATCACATCCCATCTATCATCCCTGCCCTGCCCTCATCACTCATGCCCTGCTGCCCCTGCCATCTACATCATCCCTGCCCCCCCCCATCTACATCATCCTGCCCCTGCCCCTCCCATCTACATCATCCCTGCCCCTGCCCCTCACACCCCATCTACATCATCCCTGCCCCTGCCCTGCCCCTGCATCATCCCTGCCCCTGCCCCTGTCTGCCTTGCTGAATATCTAGCAATAATCCTGATAGCCCATCTTCCCGTCTCTTCCACTTGCCTCTATTACTCTCTCCTTGTATCAGATTTCATGTAGCAACACATCTGCTTTCTGCGTCTATCTGTTTTGTTCAGCGTGTATTTGCCAGGCACGAGAACAGCGACCCAATCAACAGAGCTGAATGGGCGTCCGTAAATCCTTGTCTGAAAGCCGGTTTTGTTTGCTAATTTACCCCGTCTGCTCGCGCTACCTCTCATTCCAGGATGAAATATCATGTTCGTTAAGTAGTGGGAGGATCAATATGTGTATCAAAATCGAAACGCTATCTTCGTCATAAGGATCCTTGTCAAAACTCTATAAAGCTGAAAAGAATAAGCGGACGGACTTACTGAGACCTCGTGAATTACTGAAAGGGGAAATAGATGAAAGAGAAGACAGGAGTAAAAGCAATAAAAAAAATTATCTTAATAAAACTGAATGCGGTAGTATAGACATAATAGCAACTACTCTATACAGTTGAAACCCTCATTTCTGTCAGTCTGTCCGTCCGTCTCTCGCTCTCTCATTCTCTCTCTCTCTCTCCATTCTCAGATTTCCCAGACAAATTGCCAACTGCAATCGCATGCAATGTTTAACCCTTTTTTGCAACGTCCAAATTACATAGCGCGGACGATGCCATGTAACTTAAAGGCCTCATCAATGAATATTACATCAATTTAAAACCATCAAACGCGTAATTACAATTCTGTTTCAGCAGTAATTAGTTGAAAGATTTTGGTATTTAGGAAATTAATGTGGCATTCCCGAATCTGCACCAATTAATGCAAGCTGGTGATGGAGACTGGACGGTGGGGAGGGGGGGGGCAACAGAGAGATGGACAGGGAGGAAAGCCTGCGATTAGGATGGAGAAAAGAGAGGGAAGCTAGAACAGGGGGAGAGGGGAGAGAGGGGGGGAGAGAGGGGGGAGGGGAGGGAGGGGAGAGAGGGAGGGAGGGAGAGAGAGGGAGGAGGAGGGAGAGAGGAGGGAGGAGGGAGAGGGAGGAGAGGGGAGGGAGGGAGGGAGGGGGAGAGAGGGAGGGAGGAGGGAGGGAGTGGGGAGAGAGGGGGGAGGAGGGAGGGAGAGGGAGAGGGGGAGAGGGAGAGGGAGAGAGGGAGAGAGGGAGAGAGAGAGAGAGAGAGAGAGGGAAGGAGAGAGAGAGAGAGAGAGAGAGAGAGAGAGAGAGAGAGAGAGAGAGAGAGAGAGGAGAGAGGAGGAGAGAGAGAGAGAGAGAGGAGGAGAGAGAGAGAGAGGAGGAGAGAGAGGAGGAGAGGAGGGAGGAGAGGGAGGGAGAGAGAGGGAGAGGAGAAGAGAGGGGAGAGAGGGAAAGGAGGGAGAGAGAGGAGGGAGGAGAGAGAGAGAGAGAGAGAGAGGAGAGAGAGAGAGAGAGAGAGAGAGAGAGAGAGAGAGGAGAGAGAGAGAGAGAGAGGAGGAGAGGGAGAGGAGAGGGAGAGGAGAGAGAGGAGAGAGAGGGAGAGGAGAGAGAGAGGGAGAGAGGAGAGAGAGAGAGAAGAGAGAGAGAGAGAGGAGAGAGAGAGAGAGAGAGAGAGAGAGAGAGAGAGAGAGAGAGAGAGAGAGAGAGAGAGAGAGTAAGCAAGCAGACATCTATGACAGGCGGCCTGGGATGTGAAACCACTGGAGGGGGGAAAAAGAACTGTTAGAATGAGAAAAAAGGAAAATAAGTGAACTGACGTGGGCTAATCTCTACAAAACAAATCGCAATTTCTATAACAGGAAAGAGGAGGCCATTCAACCGCCAGTGTCCGTGATTTTTAAATGAATCGGAAAGCTATCGTTCAGACTCGACCTCTCACTCTATCCATCATGACATCCGAAGTTTATCTCCAATCGCATGGCAGGCCCTTCATGGCGCACAGACACAGGATCAGCAAACATACTGGACACGAACACATAGTCGTCATATCGCTTTCCGGAATTGTAGCGGCGCAATTTACTCTAGTGGTCGGGGTATAGCCATCTCTTCATCAAAAACAGCGCCCAAGCTTCACGACCATAAAGTTGTCAAATGACTCACTTTCCTGAACGTTCCAATAGGGATTTACGCTCACAAACCTAGGCAGAGAAAATTGTCCGTACACAACCAAGCCCTAACAAACAAACAAACAAACAAAAACAAACAAACAATTTCTGTCTCCTCTCATCATTCTCAGCTTCGTCACAAACTCAGAGATGAGATGAAAAAAATATATGAAGTCGCTCGTCAATCAATCATCTTGGAGGTTTAACCATAAAATATAAACTTCAGAAGTAAAATAAAAGCTAAATAAAATAAATAAAACAAACCAAAAATAATAACTAAATAAATAATATAAACAAACATCTTTTACGAACAATCGGAAAAAGCCTGAAAATCTGACCTTGTATGATGGCTTTTTTAAAAGGTCTGTCGGGTTCCAAGGGATGCCTCTTCGAGCTCACTTCATAAGATTAATTTATTTGTTATTCTTCGGCACAATACTGAGATGAGGAAATGAAAGGCAGACAAACAAAGGGAAGCGAAGGAGGGAAGATGGGAAAAAGGAAGAGAAACAGGGCGAAAGAGAAAGGGATTGGGAAGGATGAAGGGGCAAAAAGGAGATATTAGGGGAGGAAGGGAGAGAGAGAGGGGGAAGTTGGGAGAGAGAGGGAAGGAGAAAGAAAGAGAAAGAGAGAGTCAGTCAGTCAGTCAGTCAGTCTAATGAATGATGCTAATGCGTCATAAAATATGTAGGCGAAAAAATATTCTTTCTTTTCTTCCCGCTTTTAAGATGACAATAAAAGAAGAGCTCAATAATTGTAAAAAGACCTACCTTCCTCCCCTTCCAGTCACTCCTTTCCTTTTCTCTAAATTCAAATCATACTGTCATTTACATAAACCCAGTCCATGCCAGTGCCCGACAGACCGAAAGACTGGCTATTTCTGTCAATTATATAAATATATAAAAAGGCCTACTACGTTTTCATTCTCGAGGAATACGTGTGTGATTCAGAATGAGGGATGGGAGGAGAAGAGGAAACGAGTGTGAATTCGGAAAAGACAGATGATGTAAGGGAAAGGGCGAGAAGAGCACTATAAAATAAAAGAAAAAAAGTCGGGAAGAGGAAGAGAAGATAGGTTAAGAGGTGTTAACAATAACGCGTTCTTAAACCCTTTCTCCACCCTCCCGCCCCCACCTAATCCCAGGGCGTTGATATACGATGATGGCGCCTCCAGCCAGACAAATGCCCCCGAATGTTCACGGAGGCCGGATGAAAAATGGACCAATTATCCGGGGTAGCGCGTATATTCACTAGAACGTTCCACAATGGCCCAGTCCATCTTCCTTGACCATAACAAGGCGGCCCTCCAACCCCCACCTTGTTTCCCGACCCCCACTCAGCGCATGTGCTGAGCTTGCATTTGGCACAGATTTACAATCCTGGCAATAATAAGCGTACATCAACGCGTTCTACGGAGGCACAGGCATACACGCAGTCACACAATATCCTTTTGAAAGTTACTGTCACCTTTAACTGGGTAATCGTTCAACGACTCCGAAAACAAACATCGTAAAAGTTCTCCTTACGAATCGTGACAAAAATTAATCTGCTTTTAATTCAAGTTATTACAACATACAGGCTGGTTTATGGGGCGGTTTACCAATAAGCGGTTTCGCCACTTTTCGTCTTCTGTTCAAAGAAAAGATATAGAAATAACCGTTGTTATAATAAAAGTACATACACCAACCATATAGGACATCGTCGAAAAAGCACAAAATTTACACAAAACTTCTAGTTCGCCCATAATACGGGAATGCACTCTGCGAGTGTACATAATCAAGTACTTTCAAAGTTGAACGGCAAATGCCGAGGCAATAAAACGGGGAATTCTCCTCCGTCCACATAAATAATCCAAGAACCTCAAGAGCAGACTAGTGTCATCTTATAATAAAGGGGGGGGGGGGCGCATAGGGAGGCTGAGATGATGCGCGGGTCTTGGAACACTAATAGAAATGGAGGATTCCTTTTGCCTCCGTGAAGACGCCACGAGATCGAATCGATGCAAATCATCAAAACCCGTATTAAGACCTGCTTCTGCTTACGTTTTGAGTGTTATTATGTGTGTCGAAAGGTTGGAAGAAACACTAGTTGAAGCCGAAGTCTGATGGATGAAAACCAAAATAAAACGTCAAAACAGCCTAATTCCCGACACAGTGAGGCAACCCTTCCCTTGCATCCCATCGACGAAGGCAATGAAGAGGAGGAAGATACGAGTTGCAGATAAAGGACTGAAGTGAACAGTTGCCTAAAAAGTCTCCTCGTGACCGTCACTTCCAGGGCCTCACATTCGGCCGACCAAGCGCCCTCACTATATCTTCCGCTCATCTCAACATCGAGGTACATTCGTTCGACATCCACAGCCCTCCCCGCACGCCACGACCTCCTCCGAAAACCCTCGTCTCTTTCTCGAACCCAATGCGTATTCAGCGACTTCCAGAACACGAGGAACAAATTTTACCCATTTATCCTTCATTCGCTAAAAACGACAAGTCATTTTCCAAAGGGTTTCTCCATCTTTAGGACACGGGATGATGGCCCGTGCCAGTCTGACGAGCCCAGTCTGGCAACAGTGAAAAGTTGGACAGACAAGTAACTGCTCAATCAAAAACTTGAGAGGTACTAACTTATTCTTCCTCCGTCGCTCGCCCTCTTCTTCCTCCCTCCCTTCACCTTC